TGTTGGTGGGGCCAGAGAAAATCACCTGGAAAGGATTCTAGGAGGACATTGAGAATTTTCTTGGCAACTATAGAGCACCAAACTACATTCAGCTAGTTGATAAACTTCTTACAGCATGCAAGACCATGAATCACAACTTCACTAAACCAATAATAGTTTAATTGTTGTTTTTTTTTTTTAAAATGTAATTTTTGTTTGCTTTTTTATGGTATGTTGCCTGTAGTCATGAATCTGTGAGATGATTGGCTATATAAATATAATAGATAGATGATAGATTAACAGATGGATGGATGGATGGACAGACAGACAGATAGATAGATAGATAAGGCAAGCATATTTCTGATGGTCTTCTACTCCTCTGGTTTCTTCAATCTAAAAGAGAACAGAATACAAAATGTTTCACTGAACCTTCTAGACTGGAAATTACGAATGGCCAAACTGGCTGAGGACAATGGACAGCAATACCAACCTTCTACTGTCTCTAGCAAAAAATCTAGAGATTTTTTCAAAAGAAATTTTTAAAACATCCTGTGGGAGAGATAACATAAGCAAAGCTTCTTTTTAAAGACCCTGGGAAATTTAAAGACAGCTATCTAAATACTGCATGCTGTTTAGTTTTTTACCAGCAAAATCTAATAACTCTTTCATAAAGGAGGTTACATAGAATTCAGAGGAGGCAGTCTTGCAACAATGACTGGCTATGGTTATAAAACAGCTGCTCATTTTAAATGATGCACCTTCTTAAATCTCTGAATTCTTCTCATTTTATCTGGAGGTGATAAATAAAGAAGATTATTATGGTTTCCATATGAAAAAAAAAAACCTGAATGGACGTAGATAAAAGTTGTTCCCTATTTGCTTTGAAGCAGAGGAGAAATACAGTAAATATTATGGGAATAGATTGCATTGATTTTAAGAAACTCTAATAAATAAATTATCTAATAAAAGAAACTCTCCAAATAAACACTTTGTTTGGAAGACATCTAGGCAAGAATTGAAAGAAAATTAATAGGGAAAGTGTTCTGAGAAAGTTTGAAGAAAATAAAAAAATAAATAAGGAAAGTAACATTTTAACATTTAGATGCTTGTTGCCCATTAATGACTCCCACAGTTAAAGACATTAAAATAGGAATTGTGAGTGAATGAATGGAAGGAAAGGAAGATAAAATACAAATAATTGGTTCCCAGAGTATTTGAAGTCAGTAGCCACAAAACCAAGCTTCATGTTTGTGTGTGTGTTTGTGTGTGCTCTGGAGTTAACTTCTGGCAATTGCCTGGACTAATCCCTGTTGTTTTCTTGGCAAGATTTCAGAAGTGGTTTGCCATTATCTCCTTCCTGGGGCTGAAAGATAGTGACTGGCCAAGGTTACCCAGATGGCTTTGTGCCTAAGATGGGATTAAAACTCACTGCCTCCCAGTTTTTACCCACATACTTCAACCGTTACCTCAAATTGGCTCTCAAAACAAGCTACAGTGTGTATTATATTTTGTTAAGTTGCAACTTCATTGAGATATATTGATTAGATTGGATTTACTCCTGTCGGGACGCATCTTGTAAATTGCCTTAAAATCGTAATATTCTTTCAGTTTAGCCTCCTTGACAGAGAAAATGAGATAATTCCGCAGCCATATATTTTGGTGAACCCCACAGAAGATGAATAGGACCCACATGCTCTTGATAAAACAGCACACAGTATGGGCTGTAGTTATATATAACTTACATGACAAGATGACAGGGTAATCCTCTTCCCCCAGTGTGTTTCAACATCTGTTGAACAACAGATCAGCAGAAGGAAAATAAGGGTAGATGCTGGTTTTAGGGGGGAAAGAAATCGTCACAGCTTATCTAATTTTTTTCATGGGTCAGATTTTTTTTTTTTTAAAAAAAGGCTAGGGGTTCTGTTCTGTCCATGGTGTTACTCTGACATCTCCCACACCTTTCTTCTTTCAAATGTTGTTGCTCCAAAGCTATATAGAAAAAGGTTCTCCATGGGCTGGCTGTAGAGAGACACCCCATGAAACTTTCCTGTGATGAGAAATTTGATTTTTCCTAAAATCTTTCCATGTGTATAGAATCAAATGACCCAAAGGAACAGGGGAGAAATCCAGTAGTATAAATAACTAGGGTAGCACTTAATCATGGAAAACTAGACTTAAAATTTACTAATATGTTCAACAGAGAATTATTCATTGCACACTTTGTGTATATTTGTCACACTCCCCCCAAAAGCTGCCCACATAAGCAGGAGTCATGAAAGTTGCTCTTATGCTTTCAGAATGCTCTTTTACGTTTTTTACGTTACTACATAAAGAAGGGGGGAAGGGAACGTTAAGCGATCCACAGCTCCTGTCCTGCAGCCATTAAATGATGAGCATGTTAAAATACATTTGGTGTGAGCTGCATTAAGAGCTGTGGTCCTTCTAGTTATTTTTGTTTTAATTGCATCATCTTTCATATCACTTTGAAATATTTCAAATGCAGGCTGAGAGCCTGTCTTTCCAAACAAATGAGACCAAAAGAAAAAAAAAAAGAAAAAAGACGAAGAAAGGAAATTGCAGTATAATGGAACAGATGGCTTGCAGCCATACCACTATGGGCTGTGTGATCTCATCAGAGCAAATATGTTAAGCTGCCTTGAGTTTGGTTAGCACTAGAAGAGGGAATCTCTGGAGGAAGCTAAGGGGAAATGTGGTGGTGGCATCTTGGTAGGTGGCAGCTTTTATTTGAGAATCAGGATTTAATTAAACATTCCTAGTACTGCTAGAGGGTGCTTGTCCATGGGACGTTCCAGATGAGATGTCGTTGTTTCCTGAAGTTAGGCAAAACTGTGCTTTATGGCACAGCAGAACTCGTGACCTCCCTATTCCGGTCAGATTACAAACCCAATGTTTTTGCTTGTCTTCTCCTCTCCAATAGCTGGTCTTTTTTTCCCTTCCCATTTCCTGCCTGGGTAAATATAGGGAGATATTCGAAGTAGGAATGTCAAACATGTACGCCGACCATTTAAACAAAGATCTGCTCATAGGTCTGAGGTTTACTGACTCGATAAAACTATTTCTCCTGCTGCTTTGACTGAATGTATCTACAGAGAGAAGCTTCCAATCCGGATTTTCAATAGAGTAGAACAAGATGAAACATGAACAGAAGAGTGCCATGTACCTGCTCACATCGCATCGCATCGCATCACATCACAGTGCCAGCTGTACTAATTTTGCTTTCTGGAACTCGTCCTTGGTCAATATCTATCCTTGAGTACCTGTGGAAAAGTAGCAGCCCATTGATCTTGTTTAAATAGATATTCACCTTAGCTCCTTTTCTATCCATTGCTTAACATCCAGTTTGGGAAAGAGGTACTTATCAGAATACAAATGATATAGTTATTGTGATTTGTTGCACAATCAGCCATGTTTATTATTTTGATTTGCTGCATAATCAGCCAGATGTTCAGACTGGATTTGTCATTTTTATCCATCCATTGAGTTCTTCCCAAGGACCTGGGATAGGCAGATATTGTTGTTATTTTTGCATATTTCTCCACTAACAATCTTGGAGTCTCATTTATTCCATAAAACATAACCCATAGTATGAGTGATACGTGACCATTGTTTATGGTATTAAATATAATGTGTCTTTCTGGTTTTGCTTATTGTGTATCATCTAGAGCCCTAGTGCTTGGGGTGGAATACAAAATTATAAAGTAATCTATTTCTGAATCCCAGTAAAGAAAATGAAACAACAGTATTGTTAAGATGGCAGTTGGGTCACTTAGGGAGGAAGGCATTAATGCAGAGTTCCCCAACGTTTCTGGCTTTGCAGACAGGCGGGAAGGGAGAGGAGACGGTTCTGAGAGAGCAGCTGACATGCATAGCTCCAATTGTGCGAGCAACGTTCATGTGCACCTGCCATTCACTTAAATGGGACTTTGTTGCAAACCCCCCGCAGCCCACAGGTTGGGGATCCCTGGCCTAATGGATCTGTAACTTGAGGAAACTGCCCACCATCCATCTGCTCCCACATGTGTCTCTTGTTGAAGGTCATTTCATGCCATTAGCAGAAGATAGCAATAAGGAAGTGGATAATGCGAATAAAACCTTAAGAATATTTTTTATCTGTGAAGTAATAGTGAATACACAACTGCAAAATGTTTACCACTCAGTCTGCATTGTGCTGTTCATACTTTTTGGTGTTCCTGACTGGTCAAGACCTTGTCCAAGTGTCTGGATGGGAGGGATGGGTTGTGGGTGCTAGGAACTCCCGTTCTTGAAAATTTTCTATCCTTGGTCCAGAACAGAGGTGCATTGCCTCATTTCTGCCTGGAATGGGCAGGCCACATTGTGGGCAGGCCACAATTTGTTCACTCCTATGTGCCCACTTGCTGAAAACCAATGGGAAGAGGGAAGCTGCTCTCCAAGGAATTTTAGGAGAATGCAGACAGCTTACTATTGATGGATACATTTTATGGAACCTCTGCAACACCAGCTGGCAGCTCTGTCATCTGCAGATCTGATAATCATCTCTTCAACCTCTTTTCATTAATACAAATGTTGAATAATAGAGGGCTCAGGACAGAGTCCTGTTGCATCCAACTTCAGATAATCTCCTAAATTGATGTGGCAGCATTTCCAATTATTCTCTGACTATGGCCATAGAGCAAATTAGGAGTCTATCTATGACTCATCACCTAACCCATATTTTACAATATTATTGATAGGGGTATTATGCAAAATTTCTATTCTGTGAGTAGCTGCTACCATGGCAATGGGTCCCTCCAAGATAAGACCTTTTAAGAGACAGGCATTAAATGGTCCTGCATATCTTCATGTTTGATGTAAAATGAGAAAAATGAAAACAAAGAACATGCCCATTTGTCTGGAGAACAACAATCTCTAAATTCTGTTGCTATGTGAACATTCTTTCTTCCCTCCCACTATTAAAAGACATATATTGCTGTATTACAATTTCAGTGCTGTCATTCATTATTAAAAATAAGATGCCACACTTTTTTTATATAACTGGTGGTAAAACTTTATTATTCAAGTTTAGATGTAACAGACATCTTTTGCTGCTTGAAGAATTGTTTGCATAAGAAATACACCAGGAACACGATTGTGAATAGAAATGAACATGCAATATGAAAACTGGGGTGGGAGGGGGAGAGGGAAGAGGAGAGGAGGGAGATAGGGAAGCAGTAACAGAAACACAAACAAAAGCAAAATATTGTTCTATTGTATAGAATAGAGCAGTGATGAGCATTCTAGATTCAGACCTACATTAAAAAAATATTCTCGGAAATAGTTGAAACATCCATAGTTGAATATTGCTATTACATTAAAGTCAGCAATATTCTGAGATGGGCTTAATCCAGGAAATCAGAATATGCTTAGAAAAGGAGAGAAGCATTCATCCCGTGAATCTAGTAAGGGCAGAGGATTTTAGGTACCTTTAAGAGTAGAATAAGGAGAATGGGAGGGAGTATTTATGAAGTATTTATGCCATGGGCACAATCTATTGGAAGTTCTGCTAGTTCATCCTAGCTAAGTTTCCATTCAATTTAATGAGGTTCGTACAGTCAAATGGTGTATCTTTGTGTATCATTTCAACTAGTGCTATGGAGAAGTTTGTAACTTGGGTTTTCTGTTTGAAGTATCTTTGTAATGTCTGGCATTTGTGGAAAGATGAGAGCGCCAGGCTGTAACAATGGGTTGCGGTAGCTGAGAACACAATGTTTTCTTGACAATTTTGCATGTAAGCATAGAGAGGTTTAGTTTGCATCACGGTCTCACTGCTTCTGATTTTTAGGTAATTAATCTCATCCAGATAGGCTTTCCCTCTCTCTATTTATCACCATAGTTGTCTCCTTGAAAGTGGTTATTAAATTATCTTGCATATACTCCTTTTAGAAGAAAATTATGGATTTCCTATGGTGTTTTTAGCCTCATATCTTCTAGGGGAAGAAAAGGTCCTTTGTAAGCAAAAGAAGCCTTTTCCAACCTTGAATGAGGTTTTTGAGAGCTTTAGTTCTAAATACATCTAGAGGACACCAGGTTCATGAAAGGTGTCTGGGAGAATCTATATCCTATAAATCAGAATGAAAACTGCATTTAGAAATGCACTGAAGAAGATTGACTTTGTCTCCTCACTTCATGGAAAAATTGAAAGAATAAATCTTTTTCAAACTGGATAAGATATGCCATATTGATAGGAAATGAACAAATATTCAAAATCTTTGGCTTCTCAATAATTAAAACTGGGTATAACCAGGTGTAAGAAATCCTGATAAAACCACCTCTTGGAAAACGGGCATGGGAATGAGATTTATTTATTGTTAGTTGGTCCTGCACTTAGACCGCATTATCTCTTTGTCTGTCTTCTGTTTATGTGTATTTGTGTTTGTGTGGGTGTGTATATGAATACAAATGATACTGAGCTCAGTTGTTTCCATCCAATACCTATAAAGTCCTTGGAATATCTTTCACCGCATACTTAGAGCTCATCAAACATCTTATTAGTCCAAATATTTATTTTAATTTTTGGCTGATAAAGTGACAGCTGTTATCATTCAACTGTTTAGACAAGAAAATGGGTTGCTGCGAAGGAAAAAGGAATTTCCATTAATTGGGTAGCTATTGGGGAAAATATTTCCACTTTAAGCCTTTATTTTGCATTTTTATTCAGATGTTAAACATGCAATATTTGGTCAATTGAACCAGCTAGTTGGAATCATAATTACCAAGATGAAATATGCAAAATGTAGTGCTGAACCTACAAGATATTTCAAGATATTCTATAGTCTATAATTTGTCCAATGTGGATGGTCACTTCTGGTCTCTCAACTATAGACCATGATTAATGGCAACAGAAAACTAAACATAAAACTGCAGATCATTATCATAACTTGATATGATAACTCGGTTTCATAAAAGATACAGGAGTGACAATCCAAACTATTCTTTTGGATGGCTTATAGATCTTCTAAAGCAAAATAAAAGAATGTTCTCCCTATCATTTTCAATGAATAGGATGCGTCTGTCATTGTCATCCATTATTGAACTACTTTTTCCAGAATGAGACCCTATTCAGGCACAATGAAGGTCAAAGAGACAGAAATGAAACTCTGCTATGATACCAATTATAGAATCAGAGGAATGGAAGGGACCCTCGGAAATCTTCTAGTCCAAGCCACTGCCTAAGGCAGGAGACCTTATACTATTCTGGACAAATGGTTGTCCATTTTTTTCTTGAAAACCTCCAGTGATGGAGCACCCATACCTCTGGGAGGCCATCTGTTCCACTGATTAATCTTTCTGTCAGACAATTTCTCCTTAGTTCCAGGTTGGTTCTCTCTTTGATGAGCTTCCACCCATTGCTTCTTGCCCTACTTTGCTCTGGAAGATTCAGGGACTTCCTAAAACAGTTTTAATACAACAAGGAGGATGTAATGAGAAGAAACAGAAGGAAAAATTTACTTGCATAAAGCATGAGGACAGGTTAGCTAAAATAAAGAAATAACAAGTATGTAGCACTGTTTTCCTCTAAAGCGTTTCTAAAAAAATGCATTTTAACCCTACATAATATATTGGAAGGGATGTAGGTAAAAAAAAAATAAAGTGTTGGTGTGTAGGAATAATGTGTAGAATACCTAAGTCCCCATTCCACCCAAAAATCTATCAGTTTAGGCAGGTTGGATCAGGCTATTTAATATTTTAATGTTTTAAAAAAACATACAAAGGTTATGCATTACAACCAACATATTGTTCCATCTCACAATAACAAATATATTTTTGTGCAAAAGCATCTGAATCTTTTTAGATGGTAGCAGCATTTCAAACTGCCCTGCTCTGCATCCAGCATTAGTGGCCCGCTGTTAAGATAAGCAGTATAAAAGATCTTAGATTCTATTCAGCTCCCCAAGACTTTTCACTTTAAAATAGCTTCACTTTCAGAAGTGATTCCATGGGAGGCAAATTAAATCCATAGCTGGAAGAGATCATTTTAGGACAGTCAAAATCATTCTAGGATGGCCAAAATATAAGTGTAGATAACATATAGATAGCCCAGTATGCTACTTAATTATGTTAAGTATTTATTTTTAAATTAAACTGAAATGGAATTTCAATTCTGTCAGTGTCTTTGCAATATTTCACTAGGACCGATACAATGTGGGATGCACTGTTTTTTGAACAGTTAGAACACTAACATCATGTATTCCTTGTATGTTCACGAAGATAAATTTGGGAACATTTTAAATGACAGTTGAATATACAATGAAAAACCTGAAGGAGGCATACTGCAGTGGGCCACCATCAGCAATACCCTCCACTTTTTAATGAAATGTCCTGATTAGACTGTAGTTATGTACTGTCGATTTTCCTAGAATGGAATGCATATTTTATAGCCTTTTTTTTTTTTTTACAAAAATTGCCTTATAAAGCTCATTTTATTTCCTATTATGGATTTAAATATATATTTAGGTTTAAATAGTTGCCTTTTTTAAAAAAAATAGTGAAATTGTGATTCAGATTAATTTGGGGTATTTTCATTTTTGGCTCACAATCCAATATAATTTCTATTGTTAATGAAACAAGAACAAATTGAAAGAAAAAAGGTGTATTTCAAACCGTGCCACTGTCATACGGATTGGAGAAGAAAAATGATATATACTTCAAGGTCCTAAACAGATGGTTTTCAGAAAGAATGTGGAGTGCTATTCTTTCTTGACTGTGTATATAAGCAACATCCTTGAAATGCAACCCACTGTCTTGTGGCCTTTTAGTGGTCTAATAATCCCAGATAGATACTAAAAATGTATAACAAACTTAGGGCTTGAAAAATTGTTATACATATTGGCTTGTTAGCACATATTGGCTTGGTTCAGAGCAATATGCAATTATAATTGAAAAAAGGGTACAAGAAAAGATCCTGTAGCCTTGGTATCAAATAATAGACTCACTTTAATTAAGTGGAGAAATTACTTTCATCACAAGTTCCCTATATAGGCTCTAAAAAACTGCCAAGGTCAGCCAGATCTTTGGTGACCAGCTATATGAATGTCATTCAGGCAGATTGAGGTTTCCTGCTGCTTTCTTTCAATATAAATTTTAGAGGCATAGTCATGGGTAATTGCTGGCATCACGGGGTTTGCAATTCGTGGCAGGTCAAATTACCATCCATATTTTGCAAACTATGGATAGTACCATTTGGTAGTGATATGTTGTGAATGCCCTATTTTTGTTTTCCAAAAGGTGGTTGAATTTCAGAAGGAACCAAATGGATCCCAGTAATTTAGCCTTTATAATGACTACACATGATACAATCCTATGCAGGAATTTATGTCACTGTGTTCAATGAAGCTTTTATTTCTTAGTATGTACATTTAAAACTATACCCTTAGCCATTTTATTCAGGGACTTAATGGGAAGTTAAACTGAGACAAGAGTTAAACAAGGCCCCATTTACTTTCTACAAATTGAGCCTCTAGCAAATAAGTGCTGGTTTGATTCTTCTTAAGATTCTAGTCTTGTAACTCTAAACTGTGGTGTTTTCTCTTCATTTTATCTTGCCATATAAATTTAAATGCTCATTTTCTAGATTAGGAAATGATGAATCTAAATCATTTAAAGGGTAGTTTTAATTGAGAATAATAGCATGGAGCGGGGGGGGCTCAGAAGAAGGATCTTCGACATAATATCCTGTCTTGGAGATCTACCCTCGAAACCCCTAGAAAAAATTCAAAAAATAAAGAGAGGGGTGGGAAAGGAGAATGGAATATCATACATTTTAATCTTCATTCGCAGTGACATTTAGGAACCAATTATATTCCACAACCGCAAGAGACTAAGACTGTGCAATGCAAAAAAAATAAAATAAAAATAAAGCCCCAGCGCAACAAAACAAGAAAACATGAAGCGATGGTGTAATATGGTAAAAATGGAGTGCAATGCTAGTACAGAATGCAATTAGAAACTTGTGTGCCATGGAGTCAGATGGCACCTCTTGACATAATCTCCAAAATGTTTCAGCTGAAACATAGACAAAGCAATAAAAAGAGGATATATGTTTATCATTTTAAGCATAACAATGTGAGTTAAGAGCTTAAGAATACAAAAAGTACTTGGAATGAATAGTGCTACTCTTTTTCTTCCTCCTAAGTAGGCATAAAAATATTTTCATTTCCTTCTTCGTCTTCTTCTTCTTCTTCTTCTCCCCCAAATATCATTATTATCAACAAAGTCCATTCATTTCATGTTACCGTTTACAATTTTAATGCACACACACACGCGCACAAATCAAAGATACCTACTGCAATAGAAAGTTGCTTCATTACCTTGTTTGCTACATTTGCAAATGTAAACAGAGCGAGGCTGAGCCAGCGCTGAATCTTATGCATGATGGAATATCTTTGTTGCATACGTACACTGTAGAAAATAATTATTCAATATGTCAGGCACCATTATTTGAAATGTAATACATTAATATTTACTAGAAAAATAAGTTTTTTTCCTATTTGTTCTCCCAACTTCTTAAATGAAATAAGTTAATCTGACAGTACATCCAGTAGCTTGTAATATCTCTTGTATATCCCTTTAAGAAAATAAGAACAACAACAACAACAACAACAACAAGAGGACTGCCTGGGCCAAGATAGTGAAACTGAATTGAAGTCCACCCTTTATAGATTCTTGCAACATCTGTGAAGGTTTGTCTAACAGCACCTTGAACCAATGACTGAATATTTAGTTATTTAGCCCTATTTCCCTGAGCAGTTATGCCGAGGAGCTTTCCCTTCATGGAATAATTTTACAAAAGGTTTATTATTATTATCGTCATTATTATCTTTCTCTCAAAATATTAAAAATAAGATTGGCCATGAAGGCAAACACTACCAAAAGCTGGAGTTAAGTCTCGTGAAGCAATTGACCACTGCATATAAACAATCTAAGGACTTCCGGGAAAAGTCAGTCCCACACACTACCTGAAGCAAAATTGAGAGAACAGTTAGTCAAACATTAATACTATGAATATCAAGTCCATAAAGTAGCTTTCAAATAGGAGAGAAGTCAGAAAACAGAGTACTTTTCCTACATTTTGGCCATAGCATCTTACATCCACAATCTCCTGAGACGTAGTTTGCATCCCCAGATTGACTTGTGAGCTGAATTTCAGTGAATCTCTCTTATAAAGGGCTTTCTCACCACCTTTAAAAATTTAAGAAGCAGCCTGGAATGAAGATCTTCTTGGCATAAAAGGTCATATTCTGAGACTCCCGTAATTTTACTTCCATCTTTCCTGAGAATTTGTTATTTACTTGATTTCAGAATGAAAGGGAAGGAACAGATGTGGCTGAGCATGAATGTTCCTGGTCTGCAACCTATTGCGTAAGGAGTGCTCCTGCTGCTCTAGACCTCAAAAAGATTGAAGAGCTCTGTGGTAGGGATCCAACAACAGCTACCCACTGGCTTAGACAAGAGACAACTGAAAAAACAAAACAAAATAAAACCAGACCAAACCAAAAAAAGAAGCCCTACTGCCTCCAGATTGTAGAAATGCTGTTGCAGGAGGATGTTCTAATAAGGCCAAAGTGAACCCAAATGGAGAAAAAAAAATACTACTAGATTTCTGGGCATCAGTTTATTTAACAAGTCCATTTCACTATACAATGTGCATATGTGTACTGTACACCTGCTTCAGCATTATACATCTTTGCATTCTAGCCAGCTATGTTTCTTGTACAGGAACAAAAGCATTATTTGTCTGATTAAGTTTTGCAAAGAGACCTTCCCTGATATAGTGTCTTTTGTATAGATTTCTTTCTTTCTTTCTGTCTTATTTATATATATATATTTTGCAGGATGGGTCCCGAGTGATTGATTCCTTACCCCTCCCCCATTCCAGCTGCCATCCTTTTTTTTTAATAATTGTCTTTCTTAAGAACTTTTAGTTTGCTTGTATGAAGCAAAAGGAGGGAAGAATAAAAGATTGTATATTGGATAAGGCATGCTTGCTATATGAAGTGCTTAAGACATTACAAGCTATTGAATTCCCATCAAGGAAACCTATTTCTGTTTAATTGTGCTAAGTGCTAAGGTTTTTATTTTATTTATTTTATTTAATTTTACTCTTTCGGTTTGCCATTCGTTTCCACTTGTGCATTGTTCTTATGTAGGCCCCTCTGGATGTGAGTAGTGAAGTCATACTTGTCCGTGCAAAAATATTGGCATATGCTGCATTGAAAAGGTCCACTGTCACCATGGCAACTCATATGCAAGGCATACATCACTTCATCCAGAAAGACAATGCCACAGTGCACACACTTGGTTGATAGATCATCTTGAGTACTTCGGTCAACTTTCTCGGTTTTAACTACCGGTACATTCAAGGAACCTTCATTTTTTACATTTGATGCTGTCTTAGCTTTCTCCTTAGAGGCACCATTTGCAGTCGCCCCAGGTCTGGAATGTTTTATCGCCAAATCTAGAGGAATGTCATTGTCAGATCCAACAGCTGAAAAATGAGGAGGCAGATTAAAGGTGGGATAAGGCACATAGTTTTGGCAAGGATTTGGTAGGCCAGGCACATGACTCAAGTAGTGTGGATTCCCAGGAACGGAAAGCTTATATTTACTCCAGAATCTCAGCCAATCAGCTTCACTTTGAAACTCATTGTGTACAAACGGAAGTCCAAAAAGTGGGTACTGGTACTTCTCAATCGGACTTCCAGGTGGTGAATAGTTTAGGTGTTTAGCAGGTCTCATGTATTTCTCTATTGGACTGCCTCTCTCTGAGCTTCCTTTTCCTTCTGATATGGAGGAACTATTGCCTGGGTCTCCAGAACTTTCCTGAGGACTTTTTATCTGAATGTGCAAAGGTTGCATCCTTTTATGAATATCCAGAGATTGGCCGACCAGTATTGACTGAGGAGCGGAATGGCTTTTAGTCAATGAACCCTGGGCTTCATATTTACTTAGGCTGGGAAGCTGGATTTCTCTCTGATGACCTTCTGTTAAATGATCTTCTGACCTCCTGTCTAATGGGCTGCCGTTGACCTGTTCCTCGCTGTTCCCTCTCTGTTGTTTGTTTAGCTGCTCAGCCTGAAGTGCCTCTGGGTTAAGGCGTTTTCTTGTCCGTCGCCTAATGATCTGCTCACCGTTGTTCTGCTTAATGATGTTTAAAGGCCTGGGAGTCTGCATATAAAACACAATAACATCATCATCAATAAAAAGAGCAATGCTAAGCAAAGCTTTGAAAAACTGTTCATGCAAATCCCTTGATATACTTAAGAGTTCAGTTCAGGCCAACCAAGCCATTCAGGGGAACTGTTTTAGGAAAGGTTTTATTTGGGAGGAAGATGCAAGGGCAGTGAGGCACGGGAAGCTGACTCCCTAATTTTGAATAATTAAAACATGTCACATGTTGCATTTTGAATCCCTTTAGTTGGCATCAAAGTGAATGTCATTATCTTCATATAATAACCTTGAAAGTGGTAAGGCATCAAAGTGAATGTCATTATCTTCATATAACAACCTTGAACGTGATAAGGCACCACCCCCACACGTTTGCAGCCTACTGGTACCGGTACTGGCAAAAAGTAAGCCCTCCCCGAAGGTAAAACCTAGTGCTTACTTCAGAGCCTCCCCCAAAATAAGACTGGGTCTTACTTTTGGGAAAACACGGTATACCCCTTTGTACATTACAGCAGGAACTTTCTGGTTGTTTTTTCTAATGGCCTTCTAACAGATGTCAGTGAGACTTCACAGCTGGCTATTTACATAACATACTCTTGAATCTCTTATCAGTCTAGGATACAATTCTTATAGATATAAAGCAGACCTTGCTACCCATCTGCAGAAATACATTGGCATAACACAATATGCACGGGGACATATAGAAGAGAAAGAAGGTGTTTTGTGTAAATGTATAGGCAATCGCATTCAAAGATGCACTGTCATAATAAGTGTCCTGTTCTCATGTTTTTGCTTATCATAGTCTCCGCATCACACACAGGGGGAGTAGCAAATTTTCACATTAGAGGAAGAAAGATGTCACGATTAGTACAACAACTCCAGAGATTATCTGACTAAAGGAAAAATTCTGCCTGGTTTTCTGCATTTAAAGAAAATCATAGGCGAACTCTCAAGACCCAGGGCTGCAAAAGATGTATCTGAAGCTTAGTAAACAAAGCTATTATTTTGTTGCTGTTGTAATAGAAAGAATAACAGAATACCAAAGTTGGAAGAGACTTTGGAGGTCTTCTAGTCCAACCCCTTGCTCAAGCAGGAAGCCCTATGCTATTTCAGACAAATGGTTGTCCAAAAAGACTGGAAGTCCTACTCCTAATGAAGAGAGGGAAGGATAGAAGGAGAACTGGAATGTTCTGGTTCTCTGCAAATGAGGTTTTTGCAAATTGAGACAAAGGACCAAGTCATCCATGGTTGGAATGTCCTGGGGTCATGTGACCACCTTTTGCGACCTTCTGACAAGCAAAGTCAATGGGGAAGCCAGATTCATCTAACAAACATGTTATTAACAACTGCAGTGATTCATTTAACAACTGTGGCAAGAAAGGTCGTAAAATGGGACAAACCTCACTTAATAAAATGTCTCGCTTAGCAACAGAAATTTTGGGCTCATTTGTGGGCAGAAGTCAAAGACTACCTGTATTGTTTCTGTGAACTCAGAAAAGAGACTGAGAGAACTGTGCTCAAGTACATGTGTAACAGAGACCTTCTTCCTGATGAAACTAACTATCTTAGTTAAATGCTGATCTGGTGCTCTCTGTATAAGTAATACACTGAGACCATGATGAGGAAAACATGGCAAGGCCAATAGTCTTAAACTTCAAGCACGTGAGTTGAACACAGACAGATCCATCAACAGCAACGCTCCTTGGAAGGGGTCACCTCCATTTTTTCCCTGGGGTATGGATAATCTGTCCACAACACATTCACGAGAAGGATGGTTGATTATCATCACAATAAATGGGAGGGAAATGGCAGGGTGGAGTGTTGCACCTCATATCAAGAGTTGTGAAAAACCTCCAAAGAAAAATAACCCTGAAAATTCAGGCAATTCTCTTCTTTCCTCTTCCCCAATCTCTGGTTCAGTAAATTTGGCTGGGAACTAAAAATAAATAAATAAAAATAAAATTTTGGACAGATTTAATGTAGGCATTATGGAATAAAGTACTCAGCCTACAGAAAGAGAGCTGAAAATCCTACCCTTGACTCTCCAGTGACATTGTGACATTCCCATCCGGCCCCTCAGCGACCTCCTCCCCAGAAATTGACCAGCGTCAATTGCTACAGAAGCCAACACATGGGGCAATGCCTTGAAAGCCCCAGAGAAGAGGTAAACATATGCTCCTTATGGAAAGTATTGTTTGTTTGATTCTCTCTAGACAAAAAGAGATGGCAACATGGTAACATTCATATTAACATTCAAGTCTGAAATCCATGAATATGAATAAAGGATTCTTCCAACGTTGCCAAAGTTTGTTTCTGTTTCTACAGCAGGGATTTGCTGTTCTCATTTTTCCCTGGCACCCCAGTCATGACTCCATAATCAGGTCCAAAACCTGCCTACGCACATCGCAGAAGAGATTTTTGGGGGGAGGGGGGAGAATCCTGATGGATGCTCAGAAAGGATGGGACATCCCATTGCATTAGACAAAACCGAATAAAATAGAAAAACAGAGAGTAGCAGTTGAACCTTTAATTTCGATTGTTTTTTCCCCTGAAAATAAGCTCTGTCCCTATTTCCTGTTGTTGTTCAATTGCTAAGCCATGTTGCAACCCCATGAACCACAGCCTGCTAACCCCCCCTGTCCTCCACTGTCTCCAAGAGTCCTGTCCCTATTTACTGGGGTATAAATTCATCTATTGCAGGGGTGTCAAACTGCGGGCCTATGGGCCGGATGCCGAAACTGTGCCCTCCCTGTTGCCGGCAATGGAAAAAAAGTGGTGATATGTTGCGACACGTCACGTGATGTGAGTTTGACACCCCTGATCTATTGGATATACATTCTTGATACTTTTTAAATGAAGAAACCTCTAGAATTTACATTCAATTACATCGACTTTCTTTCTGTTGCTTACTATGTAGCAAACTTAATGTTTAGCAACACCTTTGCCCTTTGTTTTGGGTAAAATTAAATTCATTAAACATTAGCTTGCATCAACTAGGAACTTAGTAGCTTGTTTCAAGACTAGTATTTGAAATGTTTTTATCTTAGCTCTGTACTAACAAAAATAAATGTAGCTACAACTTACTACCTATTAGCATTGGCATTAATAATTGATTCCCTTTAAGCCAGCTTTTAAAAATCCCTAGCTGCCATCCATAGCAAATTGCAATGATGCCAAAATAATGACATATGAGTGATGATGTCATCACACAAATGACTTATGAGTCATGACATCTGTCATAAGTATGTAAATCACAGTGTTTGGATGATAATGTTGTCATTTATTTCTCTTGCCTCCTCCAACAGAGGCCCATGCCAAAGAAAATTATTCTAGTAGTTATTAGCAATTCTATATTTTTTACCACCACTCCTCAATTTTTTTTTAAAAAAGAAATCTTCAGTTGACAAGCAAAATGTTATTGCATTAAGTTAACTGCATTTACATATTACAGGTTCCATCTATTAGGAAAATACATCTGGCAGAACCACTTCAGGATCTGGCTACCACCTAGTTATGGAATATTATTCTCTGGAGATAAGATTGGTCCCCATCTTTTCCAGAAGACCCTAAATTGTGGTTCTATCTGCAGGCCTGGGGAACCCTAAACTGATTCAGAGTCATTCAAGTGGTTGGTAGTTGCCAATACAGGGATACAGGGGAGGTGGGATTGTATGGGTTTTATGCTTTTTATTTCTTTATTTTTTAAGCTACCTGAAGTCACTGTGTATGAGTTTGGCAGCCATATAAATTTTGTTTAATGGATACAACCTTCTGGCCCAATTCAAACAAACAAACAAACAAACATAGTAAATCAAAATATAAATGAGCTGTGTGCTCTTTATTTGGCTCTTTTTTCCTCTTTACATGTTGCAGTCCAATCCATTTGAGGTTAATTAGATATAACTTTCCATTTTAGCTAATGTACAACACAGTATCACAACTGAAATAAGCCAAGACCTTTTAAAAATAAATGAATGGAACCTTCACAAAGTGTGAAAACTAGTAAAAAAGTGAATGTTGATCGCTAGATTACTTTAAGCCAGTTTTCCTCAGTTGCTAAGGTTGAGAAACACTAGTTTAAGCCAGCTAATAGCTGAAGATTCCTATGAATTCAACCATATCCTTTATAGCAGAATCAGATCAATTTAAATCAGAAACAGAAAACTTCCTGAAGGTTTTCCTGCTTTTCTGATTTTAAGCCAGGGCTCAGATCCATTAACATAATGATGATAATGATGGCATAATGATGCCATCAGCAGTAACCAAACAAAAATAGGCTGAAATCATGGATTGTCTAAATTTACAGAGTGGTTTCATGAAAATAAATGTAAGGCTAACAGGAAAGGAAATCTTGCCAAGTCTTGGTACTATTTAGATGTTTAATCAGAAAATAGGTAGGGACATCCACCAAATGATATACATATCCATTTTAGAATTAACACATTATATACAATTTATCTTCATCTATTTAACTATTTATATAGTTAACCCTCAGGATGCATAAATTGCTTAGGAAACCAAGGGTAAAGACTGGTCAATATAGTGCTATTTCTTTCTCTCTTTCAGATCACCTGGGAGATTGATTGATTAATTAACTACTGTCAAGTCAATGTCACTCTTAGCAACCATATAAATTTTATCCATAATGAACTGGGATGGTCATCATAGCTTGGGTGACCTTTCTGGGAGTATCCTGGAGGTATACAACCTTGGCATACATTCCTGGAGTCTTTCACTCTACCCTCTCCACCCCACTACGGTAAGGAGCTCAGCAAGACTTGAGGGTATTCTGGGAATAGAGGGAGAAATTAAGTAGTCTTCAGAACATGCATATTTATGTTTTCTTATATAGTTCCTTTCAATTAGAGGTTTAAGAAGCTGTCTTGCATTAGAGTTAGAATGTTCTTCCTTCTAAGCTTAGTACTTTCTATATGATTGGTTGTCTGTTTCTAGGTTTCCAAATCAATCTGAAGATATTAGGAACTGAACTTGTCATAAGCTCAAGCTGCACTACTAGCTTCTCTGTCATGAGAAGAAAGGAATCTTGAAATGTTCTTTTTCGACATAATTCTGTGCATTTTTATTCTTTGTTTTGTCTCCAAGTAAATAAATTCCTTGTTGGGCATCTCCAACACTGATTCTCCTGTCTATGGCATATCAGCATCTTCCATAATGAATCACATCTGATTCTGGAATGACCACACTGAAGAAAATGTGCAGTTAGGAAATTAACCACAGCTGCCCAACTTCAGCTGAGTTGCTGAAAACCTTCCCAATATAAAACAAGCAAGTTCTTCCTACCGAATGAAGCTTCTGGTAGAGACCACACGCATTGCAGACATATCCTCCATTTGCGTTCTTTCGCCAGAGTGAGGTCTTTGTGGTCAGGCAATTGGCACAAAAAACACCCGAGCCTCTACGTCTCTAAAATTGGGGACAGGAAAAAAAAAAAGAAAAATGTCAAAGGTTAATCATATGATCTGTAAATATGACAAATGTACACAACAGTTTTCTATTTAGCTTGATAGTATAAAAATCACACTGCACTGCACCTAATGCTAATTTTCATGACAATTTATCCTTCAGTAATGGATCAACTATGCAAAACACAAATACTTTTATTTTCCTCTAAAGTTTTAACTTGGTAAATTACTGAATTTGTACCTTTTAATGAACAGATTTAGTGCCCTGAATTTTAAGATTCTTTTGGGAGTTCCTCTTAGGTATTTTTTCCCCAGATTTTTAGTTATTTTAATGGTGTGATCATTAACAACACCCCTAAAACATAAATAAAAAGCTTTCCAATTAATTTCACTTTACATGTAGCCTTATTTTGGTTCTTAGAAAGTCTTTCTATCTCTTTAACAAGATGCAAAGTGTTAAATTACAGGCTAACGTAATTATAAAAGTCACATATGCTGCTTTTTATTTCCTAAAACCCACTGAAAGCATAGCTCAAATTCAGTACTATGAAGGTGTATATAAAGCTCTACTTTGGTCATAAAACTACATGATGTTGTCTCATCAGCAGATGGTGTAAAGCATACTTTTAGGAATGCAAAGTGAACACAAATGAGGGTGTGATTGAATTCCACAGCTTTCTTAATCCTGCAACTAAGAAAGATGGGTTAAATTTCTTCCATTGTATGAAGATATACTGTAGTTCATTCGGTGAAGAGAGTTTCAAATAAGAAGAACACAGAAAAATAAAGCATAACAGGCTGACTTTACAGACATAACTGTTAATAATTATGATGTGGCTATTTCTCCCTCTTTTAAGCAAAGCAAGACTTTTCAAGTTTTTTTTTAAAAATATAAACATTTATTAAGAGTTTTGCACAACTGTGGAAGGGCGAACCATTTCAGTAAAAAAGCTTAAACTGATTTTTGTTCTAAATTAAAAAATTACTAACCTTGTAAATCAAAATTTCAAGGCTTCCTCAAATTTAAGCAATTCGTTTAATTTTACTCCATACTGTAGGGAAGGAATGGTGGTGCCAAGAAAGTACAATGGTTATAATTGTACTCTGATACTTTTCAAATGGAAAGCTTTTTGCAGACATAATTTTGGCTTGGAGCATGGAACACTTTCTTGGCATAGAAAGGGCATTTGATTCATCGGGTGTTTCGCAATGTATCACTAAAAAGACCTGGTGATCAGCCAGTTCCCTATAGGGTAATTTTTCCATCCAGATGTAAGCGCTATCAGAGGCCCTCGTCAGCTAAACTAATTAGGATCTTGCATTTGCTGATGGCTGCTCGCTTCTAATGTTTAGCTTCCCCATTAATCCACTATACGGCAAAAACATAGGAAACACAGAGAATTGAGGGCTGGTAACCTACACAGCTATAAAATTCTAACATATGCTCAATATTTTAGGAAGATTGAGGAAACATTATCAGTAAGAACTGAAGTCAGACTAATAATTGCCCTTTTAAATCACAAACATAGTTTCACTAATGTGGCAACTTGGATTTCTTTAAGTCGAACTAGTAAAATCAAGAATGCCAAAGGAATAATCAGTTCTTCCGTCTCTGCCTCTAAGCTCAATACCACTTAATCAGAACTATAATTACGGTATATCTCACTCTTTCACTTAAATCTCAAGGGCAACTGGAATTGATCTACATAGAACAGTCTTAAATAGCTTCAGATTCATGTTTAACGTGGTCAGTTTGCTTGTTTGTTTAAATACATAAAATGCACTCCCTGAACCAAAATAATATAGAATGCACGCTAACCTAATAGCCTAATGCCGGTCAGTGAGTTTGCCTAACAAGTATCTAACGCCCTTTTAAAAAACTCTGTAGGCTAGTTTATCCACACAAAAAACCTCAACTGATTGCCAAAATACTTTCTTTGGAGATCAGTAAACTTTTAGTTAAATGAGATTACAGTTATGCATGCAATGGAATCTAATGGAAACTCTTTTGCATGGCCATCTTTTGAATCTGCTTGAAAAACATCTCAGTCTTGTTCCAAATGTTCTTAGAAATGGTATAGACAAGCAGAGGCACGATAAACAGGGTGTATACTAAGTGTGAGTTTTTCCAGGCTTGACAAGTTTGATGGTTATTTGGCATTTTTTTTTAGAGACCAGATAATTGTTTTTAACAAACAAGTACTAATCAGGAGTTGACAATTTACAATTTTCTATTATATGTTGTGCACACGTACTTTATATACCAAAGGAATAGGGCATTAATTATGTAATTGTGACCAGCCGCTTAATTTTCTGAAAACTCATCTCTTTCTTCTCATGCATTTCCCCAATTATCCTGAATTAATATCTCATTGCAGCCTTTAGTTGAACTTTAGTCTTGATTATAAACAAAGGAAGCATGAACATTTATTGTTTTGGATATATGTATTTATGCATTTTCAAAAAGAGAAAGAATAATAGCCAGAGAAGGTGCATTTATTTTGTACAATAAATAATGGAGCTAAGATCTAACATAGCTGGGATGAATGAATCAATATCAGATTTATGCTTTGGAAATATATACTTGAAATGTTAAATTCAGCTTTTTGGTAAAACTGACATCTGCTATAACCTATATCCAAATCATCGTAATACAAACGTTCTCCTGTAACTGTAAGTAATCTTACATGATTATTTGAAAGATTATGTAAAAATAGTCAGACATGGAAATTATTATGAATTTTTTGTCTGCTAAAAGAATGGAAATAATCTCCAAAGCGGGTGGGGGGGGAGAGAATCTGCCCATACATTTCTTCTTGCTACACAGAAGATGGATTGTTGTGGAACTCATTATGTTAACCCAGTTATGAATACAGAATGGATGTAATATTAATAAAGGATAAGTGGATGCTATTTATTAATTTTTGAAATTACTTGTTGGAAAGCAAGATAAATCAGGAAACATATTGTTTAGAAATATTAACTGTTTTTGAGCTGGTTTGCTGTATGTCAAATGGTTATTTTGTATGATACACACCATAAAAACTGGTCAAGCTGAAGAATATTTTGAATGGTTACAAGTTACAAGAACTCACGTGATGTGGTGACAAGTGCAAATATATTTAACCTATAATGTGGTCTTCCTTAAATGGAGGTTGTTCAGATATGCTTTAAGTAGTCTTAGCTCCAAATATTCTTTACTGCTCGATTGTTTGCATCAGCTGTCAGCATTCAATTAACCAAAGCCAACAGCTTTGTAAGTAGATTCCAAAAACTCTTTAATGTAAAAAAGAAAAGAAAAAAGAAACCCCAAACTCTATTCTTGCTGAAATTGTTGATTCCTTTACAAGGATGTGGGCAGTGCAATGACTCAGTGATTAAGATGCTGGGTTTGTCAGCTGGGAAGCTGACAACTCGGGTTCCCGAATGTCGCACAACAGGGTAACAACTGTCTTCACCTAGCTCCTGCCCACCTAGCAGTTCAAAACTATGCAAATGTAAGTAGATAAATCATGGGGAGGAAACAACACTCCATGACATCATGCTGGCCACATGACGCGCTGGCTCAATGGCCTTATAGTTGGCAACAACTAGAGGAGCAAAATCCACACTGGTTTCCTTTCCTTTCCTTATATGAGGATGTGAAATGTGCTATTAACCATAGTTTACATATCTATGTACAATTTCTTTAATGTTACTCTCTTTTGTTCAAGGTAACCCTAAGTTCATGTCCTATATTAGATAACACAGTTATTTGAAAAATTGCCAAAGTGAAGTATGTTATGGGAGTTCAATCCAGTTTAGATTTGGAAACATAATAAACAAAAACCTGTATTAAAGAAGTAAAGAGTTGGGACTTTGGCTTTCCAGACTGATCAGGTGCAAAAGTCATCCAATTATACATTTTCACAACACTTATGATTTTCATATCTGAAGCTGAAGCTATAAATCAGCACAAGAAAGCATGGAACACATTATGGGCCAGCTACAGATTTTAGGGTTGTTTGACATGAATGTGCTACATGGTGCCACTGCTGTTGCCTGGTTTTGACATTTTAGCTTAAACCATACATAGGAATATGCTGAGTTTGTTGCTCCCTTTTCTACACAGTATCTTAAAAACAGCAAGAGAAGAAAGTTATGGAACTTAGCAGCAAATATCTTGATGGAATTGAAGCTTTGGAGATATGCATGATAAAAAGCTGATTCTCAATGCATTAACATCGTGAGTTGAGACAACTCTTCTAAATGTGTATTCTTTTTGCCTTTTCCATTGTGTTCACTGATAAGAGTATTAATTCAAGCCAAGAGTTTTACCTAACACATTTGCTTTCCAGCCCTCCTTGAATGTTATTTCAACTTTCAAACACAAATTTCAGAAAATACAATTTCTCCTTTTGGAAATACACATACAATGTAGGTATTAATTTTGCGGGCACATAGCATGTGGCAATGTGACAAAGGGCTCCTTATGAGTTTGCGAAACACCGTTCAAAGTCACTCCTAGCCATTATCAACAAACTGCAAATCTGTTCAACTGGGTCCTGCTGTGTTAAGTTTCACACAAAATCATATTTTATTCCAGCCATAATAGAATCTCCAACAACAGTTCTTAACATCATGGAAGCAAGGACCCACAGAGTACAAATGATAGGAATTGGATTTCCTTCAATGCCACTTGCTTTAATTGGAGTTATCCGTGCAAATTTCCTGTACAGACTTGGAAAAATAATCCCAAAGGATCAATAATTGAAACTATACTTCTGCTAAGTCAATCTTTAATTATGTGAATCCTTATAACGAATACATTATAATAACACAGCATGAAGGGACAACTACAGTTAAGAGTCTCTCAGTATTTTCCATTTTAGTTCCTAGGATGGGTGTTTAATATATTACTTGTTTCAAATCACACTGGTTGAAATTTGGCATATAAATTGGTTAGCACAGATGTGAATATTTTTTTAAAATAAAATTTTCTTTAAATCGGTTCAGCTGTTT